AAATCCGCCACTGAGTTGCCTTATTTGAGCACATGTTGAAAGATCACATTGAAGTTGCCCTTCATATCTATAATTTTCTTCACATCATTTTCAATTGCCCAAGGAGGTTCCCATTACCCTTCTATCACTTTCTTCATCACTAATGACTGAGTCTCGAATATCAGAGGGTAAAGATCTTGCTCCACACAGTATTCCAATCCTTGGAGAATAGCCTTAGCTTCAGCCACCACATTAGTTGTCACCCCCAGGTATATTACCCTTGCATACACCATATCACCTTCATAATTCCTCACACAAAAGCCTAATGAGCTAGGACCATGATTTCCTTTTGAAGCTCCATCCTTAAACATAGGTTTATATCCTTCAATATATTGAACTATGTCTGGCCATAACAATGGAATATTAGGCATCCAAACTGTCACGACCCAAACCGATGGGCCACGACGGGCACCCGATACCTTACTCGATCGAGTACCAACGTAACATATCTTTCTTATTACATCATCATATACACGAGACATACGGGCCTAATAGGCCAACATGATCCTTTATAAACTTAAAACATGCCAACAAGGCCGTACAATCTTTTACGTACACGACATATGTCTACAAGCCTCTAAGAATACATAAATGCCATAAAGGTCGGGACAGAGTCCCGCCATACCAAACAATACACGTCTAAATAATACTAACCGGACGAGCAACTCTGAAGCAAATGGAGCGCACCAACATCTTCCGCTGAGCTGATAGCCTACTTGGAGGGCTCTCGGCCTGTCTATCAGGACCTGCGGGCATGAAACGCAGCGTCCCTAGGCAAAAGGGACGTCAGTACGAATAATGTACCGAGTATGTAAGGCATGGAAACATGAACACGAATAGTAATGTAAAGAGAGATAGAGGAGATACAACCTGTAACATCTGAGTGCCTCTGGGGGCTACTGACATGAAATGCATAATACATATATATACATAAAAAAAATTTTAAAACATTCGCCTCTGCGGGCATCATCATCGTCATATCGTACCCGGCCTCAAAGAGGACCCGGCTAAAACGTACCCGGCCACGTGGAGCTCGGTAAACCCAACTGATCAGTGGTTGCACAATAGGTGCCGTACCCGGCCAACTATAGCGCGGCTCGGTAGAGTAAAATAGATACATATATATAATGCATGCTCGACTCATGGAATCACGTTCTAACCTTTTAGAGTGACTTAAGAACATTATGGACATACATACCCTCAATATGAACTTCACTAGGACTTACGGATCATATATACTTTCTTAGAATAACTTTGTACGGAAAGAACAACATGGACAACCTTAGTTGCTAGGACTAGATTCATTATGAAATAGCATATTCATTTCACATTAGATCATACCAAAAGAAAGAAGGAAGTGCCTTAACATACCTGTTCACCACTCAACTTGGAATTAGCAACAACTAGGCGAATGGCCATTGATTGTTTCCGGCCAGTGACCCATAAGTATGCATTTTCCAAAGGGCTTAACCATATTTGATTGAAAAATGACAAGATATGTTTGTGCGCTGCTGCTGCCCATTTGACCGTGTAATAATCTTTGTGATGTGTGGTCATTTTGTTCACCAAAGATTCGTGATATTTGAAGTATGAAGTTTCCTTTGGAACAATAAGTAGTAGCCTAAGGAACTGTTCAAGTTGAGTCATTTAATTCTCCTTAGAAAACGAGAATGCTTTTGTCTTGGTATTGTTCTTCAACACTAGAAAATCGACTTATTTTTTTCCAATATGCAGATAAACTTTGAGATGGATATTGAAGAAGAGAGCATTTCAAGTTTGTTTCTACATATAATTTTTTTTCATTGGGTTGAGTTATAATCTGACCTATTCCTCAATGTAATATAAAAGTAGTACATGTTTGTATTAAAGAATCTTTAGAAAATAATGTTAAAAAAACGTATAGAAGGCCTTGTTGAAATTTGAAGAGATCAAGATGGGCATTCTTAATAAAATCTTGAAGAGAAATTACGTTGAAGTTATGGAAAAGTGTTTGTAATTCTTTCATAAGACATTGTAGTTATCATTCAACACTTTTTAGGTGGTCCCCACAATTAAGCTTGGTGTCACATAAATCTTGTGAATATGCCACCTCCTAATCTTATTCAAGGGTTATCAAAGGGGTAAAAGGAGGTGCTGCCACGTTAATATTTTATAAGCCTTATCCAAAAATTATCCACTTATTAGTTAACTGGGTAATATCCTGTTACCCAGTAACTAATTAATTACCTACAAAATTAAAAATTATTCCTACTTACTTGAAATATTTTCACTTTTCACATACCTTATACAACTTACTATCATGGCCATGTGGTACCTTGTTTGGTACTAGTCCATAAATACAGGGTATTAATGCTCGGTTTTTATTTTATCCGAACATGCCAAGCATGGACGAAAATTCATTTTCTTCGATATTACTTACCCTCTTACCTTCACGAATTTACTCATCACTTATAATCCTTATAATCCCCATATAATCTTTTCCTTGGACTGATGTTAATTACCTTACGACAAAATCAACGTAAAATACAGCAGGGTGCAACACTGTTGTAACTTAATACTGAAAGACATAATATTCTCGTAATATAATATTGTGGGACGTAATATTGCGGGGTGTAACACAAACATACCTCACCCTTGCCAGTTGATGCAATGTCCTATTGATCTCATGAATCACCCTATTTGTAGACACTGAACCCCTATGTTTAGCTGCATTTCTTCTTCTCCAAAGTTCCCAAGTGATGATTGCTGGTACTGCTTGAAACAATGGCTTTAACTTTGGACAACATTGAGCATACCACCAATGCCTTATAATCTGCTTCAATTGAATCAATTGCACAGTAATTCCAGCATCCCCATGAACAAGTTCCATACTTTAGAGGCAGTAAGACTTGTGTCAAATATATGCTCAATAGATTTCTCTTAGGGCTGCTGACAACACCAACACCTAGACATCACCATTTGCCCTTGCCTCCTTCACATGTCATCAGTGGCTATTTTCCGCCTCTACAATCTCCACAGGAAGAAGGATATCTTGAATAGTAAACCTTTAATCCACATTAACTTGTATTCCTGATTAGGATCAGCCCTATGCCTTAATATTTGCGAAGCACTACTAATAATGAACTTGCCTGAAGGAGTTGGCATCCAGTATGGCCTATCCCAGTATCCTACACTGCCTTCATAATGCACATTTAGCCTTATATGTTCTGCAACTTCCTCATTGAAGGTTTGATCTAGTAGCTGATCATCCCATGTTTCACCTTGCTGTAATTCTGCAACATCGTGGAGATGTTCATTGATTGGAAAGTCTTCAGGTAATAAGTGATAAAGTGCACCCAATCAAGTCCAATTATAATGGCAAATATTAGTTGTTCCACTCTTCAATTCCCATAGGATCTCATGTTCTACTTCTTCCCTAGCATTCAACATTTGTCTCCAAACATGAGACACCCGTCTAAACTGCACCACCGTTGGTATCTCCTTCTTGCAATACTTATTCCACATGAAATTAGACCACAAAGATTTTGTGGTCCTAAACCTCCACCATAGCAAACAATGCCCTCAGACACATAATGTAAGGACCTAAAGCCTATGCCCCCTTCCTCTTTAGGAAGGCAAAGATTTTGCCATGAGGCCCAATGTCTGCTTCTCCCTTCTTCCTTTGTTCTCCAAAAGAACCTAGCAAAAATCTTATGAAGATGCTCCAGGACATTTTTTGGTGGATGCAGGACTGATAACATGTGGACTGACATACATTGCAACACACTAGAAATAAGTGTTGCCTTTCCTCTAAATGACATCAGCTTTCCTTTCCATGAATGCAATTTAGCCTTTACTTTCTTGATAAGATCCTCATAATATTCTTTCCTCCTTCTACTGTAGAAAATAGGACACCCTAGATATGTGAAGAGGAATTTACCTCTTGCAAATCTTTTAATAGCTCCAACCGCCTGACATAATCCATTAGGAACCTTTGAATATGTGTCGTATGAACTTTTATCTTTGTTGGTCATCTGGACTGATATCTTCTCATAGTTCCCCAACACTACCATAATCTTGCTCAAGGATGGAGGATGAGCAGAAGTAAAGATTATAGTATCATCAGCATATGCCAAGTGGTTCGAAGAATCCGATCACTTAGGCATTCCAAATTCCACAAATGACCTGTCTTCAAATAGCTTATTCAAAGACCTGGATAGTACATCAGCTGACAGAATGAACAATGTTTGTGATAGAGGATCCCCTGGCTTGACACCCCTTGTAGACTTAAAGAACCCTGAGGACTGCCCATTCACCAATACTGAGTACTAGTTATTTGACACCAAGTTCCACACCATGTTGATGAAGTGCTCAGAAAATCCCATCTTCCTTAGTACATTCAATAAGTACTTCCATGAGACCCTATCATAGGCCTTAGCCATATCAATCTTGATCACCACATTAGCTGGCTTTCCCCTTAACCTTATGTCAGTGACAATTTGTTAAGTCAATAAGATGTTCTCAAATATACTCCTACCCTTCAAAAATCTAGATTGATTAGGAGATATTAGAGAAGGCAAAAAAATTTCCAATCTATCATGTAACAACCTAGACAAGACTTTGTTAATGAAGTTGCTCAAGCTAATAGGTCTTAAGTCAGAAAAGGTCTCAACTCTAGTTTTCTTAGGCAACAACACTAGATTGGTGTGAGTGATGGATATAGGCAGTGCAGCTCCTCCATAGAAGTGTAGCACAATGTTGTGTATATCAGCACCAATAACATCCCAGTGTGTTTGATAAAACAGGCCAGTGAATCCATCTGGACCACTAGCACTCTCCCCACTAAGCTCAAACACTGCTGTCCTTACCTCTTCTATTGTTGGAAATCTGCTAAGTTCAAAATTCTGTTCCATAGTGACCATCGACGGTACATTATTTACCAAGGAAAAGTTAGATGTAAAACCTTCAGTTGTGAATTGTTTTTAATAGAAGTCCACTGCAGTTGTAGCCAATTGCTCCTGGTCTTCAATCCATACCCCACTTCCACTTTTGATCCTCTTCAGCTGCAATTTCTTTCTTTTGCCATTGACATGATTATGAAAGAAACTTGTATTCCTATCTCCTTCAGCTAACCAAGTCATCATAGCTTTTTGCTTCCAATACTGCTCCTCAATACTCAAGTATTTCTTCAATTCAAATTAAGCCTTTTGTAGCAGAATCCTATTCTCAATTATAGGATCTTCTTCATAAAACATCTCTTTCACCCTAACAATATCTTCCAAAATAGTCAACTGCTTGAAGATATCACCAAATGTTTCCCTACTCCATTCTAACAGTGCTGCCTTCACCCTATTGTGCTTCTGCTTGAACATCAAAAAAGGATCCCCTATGAAATCAGCTTCCCAATTCTGCCTCACCAAATCCATAAATGTAGCATGTTTAGTCCAAAAGTTCAAGAAGCTGAAAGGCTTGACAAAACTGGTGGTCTGCTCCCCACCTACATTAACAATGGTACATGATCGGATCCAGTTCTGATTAGAGTTCAGCTTCACTAGTTGGAAACATGTTCTGGAATGGCAAATTCACAAAGACCCTATCCAATATTTGAATATACACGCAGCATTGGATCTCCCATTCCACCATGTAAACGGACTTCCTTTATATCCTTGCTCAAACAAACCACAAGAGTATACACAAAATGCAAAATCCTCATATTCAGGCGGGTGTACTGGTAGTCCTCCTATTTTCTCATCTTCATGTAATATCACATTGAAATCCCCTCCTACCAACCATGGCAATTTCATATCACATTCTAAGTGATACAAGCGATCCCACAATTCCAACCTCTCCATTGCTGAACATTTTGCATAACCAAATGTCATCATCATGTGCTGCCCCAGATCATGGTGAAACACTCTCAGAACCACATGTTGCTCAGTATACTCCACTAATTCCCACTCTACCACCGTATCAAAGAACAACCAAATTTTCCCATTAATATTTGCATAAGCGGTCTCCATATTCAACCTTCTTCTATATCAATCAATGAGTCTCTTCTTTTGAATAGGCTCCATCAATGAAACTACAAAAAAGTTATGCTCCCTATTCATGATGATCACCCTAGGAAAGGCCTACTGTGTATTCACAGACTTTATGTTCCATATTAATGTCTTGATCATCATTTAGATAGAGAATCTTCCCTCCTGGTATAATTCTTGAAGTTTGTTGTGACTCTTTATTATGATTCTTCTTTGCTTTCTTACCTCATTTAGCACTAGCTGTAGGTGATAGATCCCCATCCCTAGCCACCTATTTCATGTTTTCTGCTGTTGATTCATCATCTCCCTCATCATCCATAGGATTTTGTCTCATTAAGTCTTCATCAATTAGTACCACATTCTGTTTAACTAAATCATCTAAATATTGTAGTGGAGTCTTCAGTGGAACATTAAGATGCAGCTGCATAATTTGATTAGTGCCACATTCCATAGGCATTTCCTCTATTTCCCCAGATGCTCTTAGAACGATTGCTTGCTTATCATTCTTTTCATCGCTATTCTTTGAACCTAGTGTATCATCCCTAACCTTCACATTATCATCAATTGTGTTCTCCAATGCATACACCGGAACACCATCTACATATGCCAAAATCTTGCCAGTTGCACTAAGGATAGGGTTAACTATCGTTGCTTCATCAGGTGACCCTGGCGCCAGGCATAGCGTCGCCAGCCTAATGCCTGGGGAGCCTAGCTTTAGGCGTGGCGTCGCCAGCCTATCGCCAGGTGGGTTGTTGTACCTCACTTTTTCTCCTGTTGTCTTTGTCGTGCCTAGTTGATCATCCTCCACCTCAATTGCATCACTCCCTACAACCTTTGTTAAGTTTATCTCATCGAGGTTCTCAAGCTGCCCAGGATCTGCAATTGATTTGTAGTCACATTGAGTTGCCTTAGCTCCTCTTTGCTAGTTCCAAACCTTCTATGAACCCAGTCGATTGTGGATTCCTTATTAGCCTTTTCATCAGTACTTTGATCACTAGGAACAATAGGATTAGCCTTCGCTAAGTTCCCATTAGGCTGCTCTTCCAACACTATCTCAACGGCTTCCTTCTTTACACGCTTAAGTTCTTGTTGTTTACCTTCTCTCGCCGGTTTAGTATTAGCATCCTTCCTAACCCTAACCTCAGAAGCCTTAGGATTAGGGCTTGTCACTCCGTATTACCTTCTTTTTCCTTCTCATGGCCCTTATTAGATTGCTTTTCCCCACCATTGCTATTTATCCTCACCTTTGCCTTCAGTAATTTGTATAGTAGGTTGATGAACTTCCTCAACCTCTAGTGCATTAAACTTGTTCTTGGTTGCTACTTCCTCAAGTTTGGCCTTCCCTTTACCCTTGTCAGCTTCCTTACCTTGTTTGTTATCAACAATGTGACCTCGATTATCCCGTTGGTATCTGTTCTTCTTTGCTTGTATCCGTTCCTGCTTGGCATGATTAGTAATTGGCTTACCAACCACCTTTCCACTTGATAAAACCTTTGTTGAATTTGAAGCTATACCAATTGCTTCGGTGCTCACCACAACTGTCTTCTCCATCTTCCATATCTTCATCAAATCTCTTGTGTAATTCAGGATGAATTACCCAGCATTCTACCTCATTATGCCCTTGTTTCTTGCAAGGATTGCAATATTTAGGCATATAATCATACTTAATCCTAATCCATTTAAACTCTTCTGGCCCAAATTCATCAGCTTCTTCAACAATCTCAATACGTTTAGGGAAACTACCTAGCAAATTCACTTCCACCTTTACCTTAGCACAACTAGGTCTAGTCCCATTTTGAATTTCTAGGTCAACATGTAATGGATTGCCAACTGCACGAGCTAATGAAAATACACATTCCTTACCAAAGAAATTTTGAGGAAGTTCTGGAAAACTAATCCACGCTATGGCAATTGGAGTCTCTCCATCAGGTGTCCACCATGATTTCCATTTTGTACAACGTATCTGCCACATGTCTCATTGAGCCTTTAAATAAAAAGATGGCTTTGAGAGAAGATGAACATAATCCTCCAATAAAGACATCCTAATTAACACATGATTGTCTTCAATCTGGCCAACTGAACAATGACCCGTAATCTCACTGTTAGAAAAGTTATGTAAATAGTAGTAAATAACCCTAATCCCATATGTATTTGGAGTAGGACATGTTATGTATATATATAAGGCTCATTATATCATGTTTAACATATGAGAATAATATCACTAATATTTTCTCCCGTGTTTTCTCACATGGTATCAGAGCAATTGTGAGAGATTTATTGTTGTGCATAAATTCCAGGGATTCCGGGAAGAGAAATCAGTCATCGAAAGCCTTTTTCCGGCGACTTTTTTAAGGTTGTTTGTGTATGCGTTGTCTCTGTCAGTGTTGTGCAAAATCCAACACTACCATAAGAGTCACCACTGTTCGGTGACCAAAACCTAGAAGAATCTCCGGCAACAGCCTCCCCATGCGCCCCCACGTGCCACCAGAAGCTCACGCGCGTGAGCTCACGCGCCGGCGCGTGCAGCATCCTCCGGCCATTTTTTGAAAAAAATTCTTCAGAACAATTGGGTTGTGTACCAATTCCAACCCCACCCATACTGTCTTTGTTTGATTCTGACCACTTTGAGTTTTTCCAGCGACTACACTGATTTTTTCCGGCAGTACAGTAATTTTCCAACAAAAATAGTGTTTCCTTCATCTATTTCAGCGAGTTTTCAGTTGATTCTTTTTGTTATTTGGTGATAATTTTATAGACTTCAATCCAATGATGTCTTTTGGAGTCGATGCTTTCGGGTCTAAAAATCCAGGTTCTGGCAGTTCCGGTGTTATGATTACCTCAGAACCTTTAGTGGGAAATTCAAACTACTTAGCTTGGGCTTCGTCTGTCGAGTTGTGGTGTAAAGTTCAAGGTGTTCAAGATCATCTAATCACGAAGTCTAGTAAAGGATATGAAAAGGCCAAAGCACTTTGGGAGAAGATCAATGCTCAATTATGCAGTATTCTGTGGCGATCTATTGATTCCAAGTTGATGCCCTTGTTTCGTCCATTCCAGACATGTTACTTGGTTTGGGAAAAGGCTCGGAATTTATACACTAATGACATATCTCATTTCTATGATGTGATATCGCGGATGACAAATTTATAGAAACATATATGTCTACTTACTTGGGACAAGTACAGGCAGTCATGGAGGAATTTGAGAAGTTGATGCCATTTTCTGCTGGTGTTGAAAAGCAGCAAGAGCAGCGACAAAAGATTTTTCTAGTTCTTACTCTTGCTGGGCTTCTGTAAGGTCCCGTGAAAAAAAAAACTTGTACTCAAAACTTAAAAGCTCGTAGTGCCAAAATTAGGAATATGTGTTTGGAATGTGTCGAGAATCAAAGTTTTCCAGAAAAGTGCAATTATGCAGTCGAGAATGTGGTCGCATATCAGGTATGCGGATCGCATATCCGCCGCAAAGTGAGTCAGTGTGTTGGGCAAGTTTGAGGTCAACTATGCGGTCGAATATGCAATCACATAACCAATATGCGGACCGCATAGTCGTCGCATAATCCCCTTGGGATTTTTGTAATGGTCAGTTTTGCGGTGCATTATGTGATCGCATAACGGGTATGCGGACCGCATTTCCGTCGCATACCCAAACAGTGTCTTTAGGTTTTGGGGAGTATTTTGCGGTCCCTTCTGCGGACCGCATGTCAGCTTTGCGATCGCAGATTTGAGTCAGGGCTCTAGTTTTCTAAATTTTAAACCCGACCCCCTATCGTTATATCCGGTGAAATAGCTCATTTTGAGCCATTTTCCTGATACTTCTAGAGTGAGAGAGAGGGGTCTAAGAGAGGGAAAGTACTTCCCATCAAATTACTCCATGAATCCTTGTTAAATCATTGAAGATAATCAAGTGAAGGGCCTAAAACTTCATCCCAAGAGGTAAGACTTCATCACCTTAGCTCTTATTTTTACACATAGCTATAACGGATAATTAGTGAGGTGATTCATGGGGATAAGGGGGATTACAGCGCATGCATGTGTTCATGAAACATATGGGTAATGGGCTAGTATAATCTTGCATAAAAGAACCATAAGGCCTTAATGAACACTAAAATGCTCGATAAAATGCTCAAGAGATCCTATATTATGATCTTTTCCTGATTATGATTTTGAATTGTGTTATAATGCTTAAATAGATTGAAGTGCGAACATTCCGAAACGTTATAGGATTAAGGAAAGCTTGGTTGAGGTATGTATGGCTAAAACCCCGTCTTTTAGAAATTGAGCTCCATTGTTGCTTATGTAAATGTGGTAAGACTGAAATTTGGGTTCTTCTATTGATCGATACTTTACGTGAATTTGTGATGTAACCTTGTATGGGAAAGTTGTGTTTCAACATGAACGATGTGCTATCTTGATAACTTGAAAAGGGGCAAAAGATATGAACTACTTATTGAAAAGCTTAGACCTTAAATTTGAGTTTGAAGCTGCATATGTTGTGTTATCCATGTGAAGTCGCATTTATGCTTACAGCCCTAAATGCTTTTGTGTGCCCATATCTATCTAAATTGCGAATCGATCATTGAAATCGAAAACGATGTGAGATATGGCCTAGTGCCAAAAATATGATGTGATAGCTGCGGTCCCAAGTGCCTATGAAATGATTTATGAGAAACAAAGATTGATATGGGATGAGTGATAGAAAATGGAAACGCCTCGATAAGGCGGCCTTGCCGATCGGGCTGTGATCGGACGCCACGATATATATATATATATATATATATATATATATATATATATATATATACACGTGGTGGCAATGTATTGATGAGTGAAACTGGAAAGTATGAATAAAGTAATGGTAACGTCTCCGGGAGACGGCCTAGCTGATCGGACTCCGCTCAAAGAAGCGGTGGCACGGTGAATGATGATGCAACAGTATGGGATGCGACAATCTAAAATTTCAGAAACCATGTGAAAATCTTGTGAACC